AGCCAACACCATCGTCATCTTCATCCCAGGCGGGTTGACTCCTCTCCTCCAACCGCTGGATCGCATGCTCTACAAGCAGATGAAGCGGTTGCTGCGGGGCATGCACACGGCATACACGGCAAAGGCGGCCAGGGCCCCCAAGACGGGCAAGCTGGCACCGCCGGGGGGTGGGGCCGTCGCTACTTCGTGCAAGAACGCGTGGGCATCCATCACCCCCGAGACAGTCAAGACTTGCTTCAAGATCTGCGGCCTCACGCTCGCGCTCGACGGCAGCGAAGACCACGCCTGGTGCCTGCACAACTTCGGGGACGGCTACCGCGAGCTCCTGGAGCAGCAGCGCGTCGAATGGCTTGCGGAACACCCCAACGTGACTCTGCCGCCGCTCCAACTTCCGAAGGTACCAGCCGAATCAACCGCCAATCACATCGAGGCTGCAGCAAAGGAGCTCGAGGCGGGGCTTTTGCCTCGCGGCGACGACAGCGACATCGAGATTGAGGATGACGACAGCGATGTAGAAGTCATGGAAGGGGCGGGGGATGAAGAAGTGATCGAGCTGTAAAATACCGCCGTTACGTGGGAGTACCAGTACAGTAGAGGTTTGGTTTGCAACATGTTGGTAGGAGACTGGCGCTAGAACTCTGTGATGCAGAGGACAGCGGCTTCTAGAGAGGGTTTTTTGTTTGGTGCTACATACGAACGTGGAACAATACTTGCAACGCGGTCCACGAGCATGTGCCAGTAAAGATTTCCAGAATACTTTTGTGGAGATCGCTACTTTCTGCCGGTTTTTCGCACGAGTCCTAGGTGGTAGTTTGTTGCGGTGGTTTCGATGAAAAAACAAAGAAAAATGACCACACGCTGAGAAACAAATATATTTCAAGTCCGGCGGGTACCGTATTACCAAAAACGTTATTGCGCAGAGGTACATGAGCACCGCACGGCGCCGAAGTTGATTCTTCATCAAACACGCCCCTACTTTTTTAGCGCACAACAAGACTGGACACCGCTCTTGGAAGCGCCCGACCTCATTGCTGGGATCGGGGTCTCCGCACAGTGTGCGTAGACCCCGATCCCTGTGCGAAAATCGAATTAAATACTACTGTGGAACCCGGGTTTTGTTCCGCACCTCTGTGCCATGACCCCGACCCGTGCGGAGACGCCGATCCGTGCGAAGACCCCGATTCTTACGGTAAACGTACGCGCCTATTTCGCACTCAACAGCATGGGCAAATTTACTCTGGTATTGGTACCAGTACACATTTCCAATCTCCACATTTAATCTTCAGCTCTACGCTGTTGCTACGGACGGTAGCCTCCACACACAGAGGGAGAGAGAGAGAGAGAGAGAGAGAGAGAGAGAGAGAGAGAGAGGGAAGCATGAGCAGACCACACCCAACCGCTCACACGCACGTCACCACGGGAAGGGACGGCAGATGAGCAAAAAAACATTAACAAAATTCCAAGGGGGGAATGGCAACACAAGCTTTAGCCTTCCAGGCAGCATGCTGAATATACTTAAAGTGTTGTCTACATGTAGCCTCCTGTGCCCCCACTCACCGAACGTCCAGTGGGTGAGGTAGAGCTGCAGGAAAAACGCGGCCACGGCGGCGCGGTGGCGGCGGCGGTAGGGAGCCGATGATTGCGAAAACGATAGCCGGCAAGACGGGGAGGACGGTTGGTTGTCCGACGGCGAAATGAGGTACAGGGGTCAGTAAGAGGTACAAGGGATCAGCAAGAGGTAAAAAGGGGTCAGCAAGAAGAAAACCTTCGCTGTGATGTGTGTAAATAACCACGAGCAGGAGCGGTAGCAACGACCAGGGCCAAAATATCCCGACTGAAAACGCACACTGGGGGCGCGGCGGGGGGGGAGGGGGGGGGCGGGGGCACGCGTTGCGGGTGCGTTGTCTGAAGGGCCCGTCTGCCTTTGTCGGACGGCGTTGTCAAGACCGCACTTTCTTACTTTCGCCTAACCAGGAAACATGCCACTGGCAGAAGAACAAGCCCTGCTGCGTACCCTGCTAGGCCGAGCTTCGAAATTCACCCTTTGGATGGATGTTTGTTGGTGGTGCTCTATCTATGGAAAGAGGCAACATGCAGAGGAACACACCCAGCCCATATCCGTTGGCCCAGTTTTTTCCTCGACTAGAGTCGCAGTCCCTATATCCGAAACGCAACAACTGACGCCGCCACCAAAATTGTCACGTGCCCAACGGTCGCGAAAGAAGTGCAACGACCTTGCCGTACAAAGTGAAGACATGCTTGAAACAGCTAAAAAAAACGACGACGACAACCACCACCACGGCTGGTAGTCCGCCCTTTAGAGCTACACAGTATCACCAACGTTTGTGCACCGAGCGAATCCGAAACAGCCACCACCACTACCAACAACACACATAAGAGAGTAAACAGGTAAAAGTTCATCATCGCCAGCAACAGCAACAACACAGCAGCAGCCGTTGCGCATCGCCCAACGCCCCCCCACTCACAAGCCAGTGGGCGTTGCCGAAGACGGACATGGAGCGGATGAGCCAGTACAGGCTGTTGAACGCCAGGCAAGCGCGTAGGAGGACATAGGGCTTCTGGTGCAGCAGCCGCGACGAGCCGAACACCTCGGGGCTGTGGTGCTTCAGCGAGAGGCTGATGATGATGATGATGATAATGATTTGATGGGTTCGTTCCAGTCGTTCCCGTTGCATTTGTCCGCAGCGCGCACACGCACGAGTGGGAATGCCGCACAGTCAATTTCGACAGGGGGGGGGAGGGGGGAGCAGAGGGGACGGACGCGTGGGCGGAAAGAAGGCAAAAATTTCGGTAACGCAGTGGGGTTCGTTCATGCAAGCCAAGCTGGTAGGTATCCGCCATACCGTCTGCTGCGTACGATATGTATGTACTGCACCCGATTTTCAAACGTCGATGAGATTGCCGCCCCACGAGGACAGCGCTGCGCACAGCCCAAAAAATAGTCGGGGCCCCGCAAATTCGCGGGGTTCCGCAGATTCGCGCACCTGCAGAAAATGGCAAGAGATCTGCCGCCGCCTACCCCACCTAGCGCAGGCGACAGAGGGAGCAAGAGGCCACAAGGGAGGCAGACGTCTGACCAGGTGGGCTTTGAATCACACTGGGACTACTGGACAACTTTTGTTCTGACTTAGAGTTAGCGCCACGAGGAGATATTCGGAGATTGCCGTGAGCGTACCACCACGCGATGCCGCCGCACACAACCCACCGGGGTCCTTGTGCTCACCTCCCAGGAAGCGCTGCGACCGTGTTGCAGAATACAGCTGGTCATTCAGTGTGGCAAACTCAGTTGGCTATCTAGCACAGAAAGTTTCAGGCAATTCCATCCTGAGGAAACTTAGCTTGGCCGTGTTGAACATTGAAAATCTTGGCGGCGGCGGGGGAACATGCGCAAGCTCTGCACGCTTACAGCAACGCGTTACGTCGCCGAGAAACCTTGATGGTCGACGACGTGGCTAATTTCGATAAGGCGAGAGTTAGGACGTCGGGCCTCAGGAAGTTTACAACTTATTCGCCTTGACAGTGCTGAATCAGACCTACATAAAGCACATTTTGTGGTGACAAGCGGTGGCGATCCAGCGGGACGCAGCTCGCACTGAACCGATGCTGCAACAGCACGACACATGCTCTCCGAAAACCCTCCACTCATGATCACTGCTTTAGATGAAGGGTTAGCGGTTTGAATCCTACAAAAGATTTAGCACGTGCGAAAAGGCTGTCAAGGGAGGTCGTCATGACGTTGTCAAGCGTGGAGATAATTACTCCGTATAAGGGAGCTGCAACAGAAAATCTACCCCGCTTGTGCCGCGTTCAATCCCGTAGGCGGGCTTAGACCTAACTTGCGCTCGTGGTCGTTGCTGTTGCCTGGGTTCGTCCTTTTCCATTGATTCGGGCTTGGGGCGCGAAGTCTCCATCTGTTGTGAACGGGATCAGCCCACTGCATGCGGACTGGACTATTGTTTGAAGCGGCGCGGCGCCACAGTCGTGGGCGGGTGGCGCCGCCCTCGCACCCTGACCGCACCCCGCTCTCCCCGCGCGCAACCGCCAACGACAACGGCGCGATGACACGAGCGACTTCCCCGAGCTGCAGTGGCGGGGACACGGGTTCCCCTAGTCGTCAACAGGTTCGCAGCGCGAAGGAGTGCGCGAGATTGACTGCGACTACGCCCAGGAAAAAAACGGGGAAGCGCGCCCCCGTAAATTCAGGAGCACGTGTGAGGGGTTCGGGAGGAGGGTCGGGAAGGAAGCGCGTGCGGTCACGGGCCCGAATTTCGGTGGGCACTAAACAGTCGCAGAGCAGGCTACAAACGCAGGTGGAGGAAAGGTTGGCGACGGCAGACTTGGACAAGGAGCATGGGGAGCAGCTGGCTAAGGCGGAGGAAGAGTCCCGACGGCGTAGGAAACGCCTTCCCGATGAGGCGTGCGCGGAAGCTCGACAAAATGCGCCTGGGCCTGCATCTGGTCTTCGACGCCAGAGTTTAGGTGGGAAGAGCAGACAAGTCGGGAGTACGGAGACGCAAGGCCGCGCTATGCCCTGCCGTAAACCGGTGTGTGGCTGGGTGACGACTACCCCGGGTCACCAGTGCAATAAATGTCCTGAAGGGGTCACGCACTGGGCGGAAGATAGGTTATGTACCGCGTGCCATCGACCGCCCAGCGAGAGAGGGTTCGTCCATCTGCATGTCAAACGCATTGACTCGGCCCGCTCCCTATTGGCCGACCTGCCGTCTGGCGAGGCGGGGGTTGTGGCGATGCTGCGTCAGTTTAACCCCCAACCTGGCGGGTGTCTCTGCCAGCGAGACGGCTGTCTCATGGCCCGCCTGGGTCGCCACGAAAAGAACAAGGCCACGCACACATGCCAAGGACCTGGAGACAACATGCCATGTTCGGTGTCAGGAGTGAAGAAGAAGCAGGGGAGGTGGTATTCCGTGTCTGGCGATGAAGAAGGTGGGAGGGTTAGGGTGTCAGCGGGAGGCGGCGGTATGGTGTGCCAGGCCTGTAACCAACGGCGTGCCCGTGAACGGAAGAAGTCCTTATCGGTACGACAGCCAGGGGATGGCGGGTCCGGAGTTGCTGGAGCTTCCTCGTCGTCCCAAGCGCCAGCCATTGGGAGGGCGGACGTCGTGGGGTCCAGCACCCAGAGGACAAGGACAGGCAAGGGAGCATCCACCGACGAGGGCTCTGGCATTGCGACTGGCCGAGCGCTTGGGCGACATGTCAAAGCGGCGTCGATTGTGCGCTCGCGGGTGGAAGGGTCCGTAAAAGGCGGGGAGATCCTTTTCTGGAAGGACGTTGCGAAGTGGTTGACGGCCGAGCGAGCTAAGCTCGGCGAGGAAAGGCTGCAGGGCGGCTCCGTACGGGAGAAGGTGAAACAAATGTTCGATAGCATCGGCCGTTCGTCGGACTGCAACGCGAGGGTGGTGGATATCCGAGGGAGCAGGGGTGCGGGAGGAGACGGACGCGAGAAAGCTCTCTGTCTGTTCCCGAAAGATCTATCCGACGAAGCTGTCGTTGGGTACCTCCTACGGATGCGTAAAGCGGAGGGAGCGACCCTGAAGTCTGAGCTGGAAAGGGTTGCTCAAGACCCTGCGGACCCCCACGACCCTGTCTTCGAGGAGGAGAGGATGGCGGTGGTCAAGACTGCGGGGGAGATTGTCCGGCGTGATATTGAACTGGAAAAGAGCCTGCACAACGCGCGTCCCCCAGGTCAGTCAAACATCAACGTGGAAGAGTTGGAGCGGCCTGTGGAACGGACGGCGGATACCCTACTTGCAATGCCCCCCACGACACTAGGATTCTTCCAGAGCGTCACCGACGTGGACCTCAATGTCGAGCAGAACCCTGCGGATCCGCCCAAGGATGCAGGGCCTTGCAAGGTGTGGGAGCGCGGGTGGCGAGAGGAGTTTGAAAAGGGTATCGGCGTTATGGACAGGCCAAGTCCAGCCACAGCCGGGTCGATGGGTGAAACGACGGTGGGCTCTGCTGGTGGAGCCGGGAGTGGTGACGTCGGCGCAATATCGGGGGGGGTGCCGGTCCTCCCGGCGTCTGAGACACGTGCGAGGGCTGTCGATAAATTCAACCGGTGTTGCCGGTCCATTCGTCGACGGTTGACGGTGATGTGCACAAGCGTCGTTAAGTCCGTGCTGGGCAGCCGGTACATGCCCTCACACGCCATAAAGGCGACCCAGTGGGCGAAGTCGAAGAATACTCCCCGACCCGTGCTCAACTTTATCGCAGAGCACTTGGGATGTGCCACCGATTCTCAGGTGTACCATCGAGAGTCCAAGTTCGCCCGGGTGGTTGAAGACTCCAACCTTCTTGCCAAGTGCGCGAAGTGTGCTGCATTTTCTCAGGACAACGTTGACTTCGAGCCCCGTGTCGGAGTGAGGCAGGGGGAAGGTCCGTACATCCCGTGCGTGGCGTGTGTGGCGAACTGGGTTGGGGAGGAGGTGGGCACGCTCCACGATGCGGGCACGTTGAAACGACTCAGCGAGTTGAGTGTGGACGACATTCTCGTTGGATCAGACGCGGCGGAGGGAGAGCGGAGGTATGGGGCTTTCTTAGCTACGCTATTCGGAGCCGTGTCCAAGTCTGAGCGAATCAGGTCGGCGGAGGGAGGGCCGTTGTGGTGTTTCGAGGCCCAACTCAGGGAGGTGAGTTGCGAAGCATTTTTTTTTTTTTTTTTTTTTTGGTTAGCCGGTGCCGAAATTTGCTCTATTTTGCGGGGTACCAATTCCGGAAAAACTGAAATAGGCGTTGGCTTTTCTTCTTTTTTGCCCCCCCCCCGTATTTTTTGCCCTTCTTTTTTGCCTTTTTTTTTTTTCTTTCTCTCTCCGTGCCTTTGTGCTAATTGTTTGGCACGACAAGCCTTGCCCCCCCCCCCTTTCTTCTCTCTCTGTTGTGTATAATAGGCGTTGGCCTTTGTTTTTTTTGTTCTTTCTTTTTTGCCTTTTTTTTTTTCCCTCTCCCCTTGTCTTTGTGCTAAATCTTTGGCACGGCAAGCCTTGCCCCCCCTTTTCTTCTCTCGGTGTTGTGTATAAGAGGCGTTGGCCTTTGTTTTTTTTGTCCTCTCTTTTTTGCCTTTTTTTTTTTCCCTCTCCCCATGTCTTTGTGCTAAATCTTTGGCACGGCAAGCCTTGCCCCCCCCCTTTTCTTCTCTCTATGTTGTGTATAAGAAGAGGCGTGGGCCTTTGTTTTTTTTGTCCTTTCTTTTTTGCCTTTTTCTTTTTTCCCTCTCCCCATGTCTATGTGCTAATTCTTTGGCCCGGCAAGCCTTGCCCCCCCCCTTTTCTTCTCTCTGTGTTGTGTATAAGAGGCGTTGGCCTTTGTTTTTTTTGTCCTTTCTTTTTTGCCTTTTTCTTTTTTCCCTCTCCCCATGTCTATGTGCTAATTCTTTGGCCCGGCAAGCCTTGCCCCCCCCCTTTTCTTCTCTCTGTGTTGTGTATAAGAGTCGTTGGCCTTTGTTTTTTTTGTCCTTTCTTTTTTGCCTTTTTTTTTTTTCCCTCTCCCCATGTCTTTGTGCTAATTCTTTGGCACGGCAGGCTTGCCCCCCTTCCTCTCTTTGTTGTGTTCAATAGGCGGCGTAGTAGTTGGCCTTTTTTCTTTCTTTTTTTTTATCTTCTTGCGCCTTTTCCACCCATCCTTTTAATTCGCCTTCTGCGGCAAAAGCGTCCAAACACACACTTACCGGGTGAGCACATACTTATTGGTAGTGTTCTCATTACCCTCCTCTTTTTCCCCTCTTGCGCTGAGAAAGTCACGTTAGGGCTTTGCATCCACGTACCCCAGACCGGCGTGATGATGTTTAATTGATGTGAGAAGACACACCACCCCTCCTTTTCCTAACGATCCCTACATTTCAGAACGGTAAATAAAGCTGGATATTTGTGCTCTTCTCTTACCCTTCGTATTCCGCCCCAGGCTAATCCATACACTTGAACGTTCCGCTGCGAGAGGCGGAATGGGATGCTGGCTGATAAGTCAAGGGAACGGTCGGGGGGGGGAGTGTGGTGCTGGGACGACAGCAGGGACTGGCCGTTGGGGAGGAGGAGAAGTTGTTGTGAACATGTACTGTTGAACTTGATTTATAGTCTTGTATTTTTTTCTTTGTTGTGGTTGGCACTTTCCCATAACTTTGACTGGACATGTCTCTTCTTGTGATTTACGATTTGTTATGTGTTCTTCGAACCATTTGGGACTTACTTGCGTGCCGTCCCTAGAATATACTCATTAGCATCATCATTAAAATTTTAAGATTTATTCATCTTAGCGACATTTTGGCAGTCTTGCAAGTAGTGTCTTTTAGAGTTTCGTCGTGTCTTGTGCCTTAGCGTGTTGTTCGAGTAATTGAGAAAGTATTGTTGGCCCGAAGGAGTAAAACTGGCACGCGAGGTACCTTAGCTGGTTGACGTGGTGCTGTATGTAGTAGTTTACTCCGTGTGTAAATGTATCTAATTTTAATGTGCGCTGCTGATTGACTAAACTGGTGCAGACTGCCCAAGTATACGCATATCAATCGCGCCCGCGGGTGCAGTTCAACCTTCGCAGGGCCTAGGTTCCGATTGCGCCGACTCCCAGCTACCGCTGCGACACTGGCTTCGCTGGGTGAAGCGCTTTTTTCTTTTTTTTGTTTCTTCATGTGCTGGAGGGGAGAGAGAGCCGGTGTGCGTCGGCGAAACCCAAAGTTCAAAACTGGGTTCGCGCCGATTAGGCGTTCTCGGCGTATACGGCGTGTTGCAGCAAAATTCAAAGTACTGGGCAAAGCCCACAGCATCTTCTTTCACACACGGGTGCGCCCTTCCGCAACCATCCTGAGGAAACTTAGCATGATGCTTGCGCGCGAGCGTCATTTTTACACGAAACACGCCGCCCCCGACTGCGTTTGGTGGAATTCCAACACACCACTTGACGTACGGTCTGATACGGGCATTTCCAGTTTGTGTGCCAAGTTTCATGTGGATCTGTGCGGTCTGCGCTGCGTTCTCGTCGTCGGACGAAACACGCCCTCGGCCAGGGGTAGGTTGGGCCGCATCCAAAAGTGCCAGGTATTTGCCTCCGAACTTCGAATTCTTCTTTTGTCACGTTCGCGGGCCACAGGCCATGAAACTCGACCAAACAAGGGTCAGAAGACAGTAAATAACTAGCTCTACGGTGTCAGGGTCTTAGTTTGGTGTGGTGTGTCGTTGCCGGAACGCACAGCAGCCCCAAAGGTGTTTCGACAAACGCCTCCATATATCCTGTGCGCAGCACTGAGGAAGGGGATGGCACGACCAAATGATGCGTACGTCCTCGGAAAGCACTCGTCGAGACACTTCCATCGCCCGCCGTTGTCGGCACCGCGACTGCAGTGTGTGTTGGGAGAGTAGATGCCAAATAGGCTTTGCGACGTAAGCCGATTGTGCTTCTATGCTTTATCCAACATGTTTGCTGACAACATGTTTGCTGAATGAATGCAACAAACCTGCGAAGGCTTATTGTACATACGGATCGTAGGTCGAGGGGGGTGTGGTATCCTACGCAAACTCGCGGTTCAATCACAGAACAGCAGTAGTCCCCTTGAGGTCACTCTCAGACGGGTTGCCTCTCTGTGGTGATAGGTGTGGTATCTACCGGCAACAAGTAACGAACACTTTGTCCTGGGTATCACGGTGGTGTGGCAGGACAGCAGTGTCTACATGTCAACGTGTCAACCGCTCAGTAACTCTACAAATAATGTAAAACTGATGAATTTGGCCTCACTGCCGTGTACAAGGAGGGATGGGGAAAAGAACACACCCTCAGATGTATGACGTTGCTTTCTCTGCATTTGCCTGTCGTTCCTTTGGCCTCAGAGGGAGACAGAGAGACAGGGAGCGTATTCTACGGATGGATGAAGTCAAGCACATCCATCGATTGTTGCTGTTGTTGTTGTTGTTTCACCACATCGATTGCATCTCCAAATCTCCGATCGAGGAAGTCAATGATCGGCGCTGCTATGCATACAGCAATATTGATACATAGACTATGCATGGCAACGCATTTTCTCTCCCAATACACGTCTAGTCTAGACTTGCATTTTCTCTTCCAATTCGAAATCGAGGGGCTATCAGAGAAGCGCGAAGAATTACGACTGTCCTGTGAGCGTACTGCCTGCACCAACGACAACACGACAATGGCATTTACTTAGCATACGACGGATCGGCAACGAACGTGCGAACGCTATTACACCGCCCATGCGTCGCGGACGCCCCGTGTAGCACCACGGGTTGCTCTGCTGGCAACATCACCTGCAAGGAATGCCACAGACCGGCATGAATCCTCGTTGGGAGTGTGCTGCGCCTGGCTTATCTTCTCAAGTGTCCGCACAACCAAGCGAAGCAGGAAGCTCTTGTTTTCCAGGAGCATGCTCGAGCCTTGAGCGCGAAAAGTTTGCTAGAGATGGAAGGCCAGCTTCTTCAAACCTCGGGGAGTGTCAGCTTTCATCCCCGCCCCCTGGGAGCACCAAGAAAGACATGGGGGTACTTTTGTTTGCTGCCGACAAGTTCTTCATGCTGTTCTCTGCTCAGCACCTTCTCTCAACATCATTAGCAATAGACTAAATGGCGAAATAGGTAGATACACATTCAACAAAATAAGGAGCAAAACAACAAGTCAGATTGAGGCTCACCTCGACGATATTGAAATATTGGTTCACTTTCCGACTCGTGTTGCTTCGAAGGCCACCACGCCAGCCATAATCGGATAGATCCCACATAATAATCATGCGTGCATCGCACAATAATAGCAGTATATGTAGGCTGGATGTGTCGTATTTTTGTTCGGGGCATGTTTGCTCGATTTATCACCTCGCACACTCATGACTTCAACTCCGCTGTGCGAAAATCATCCAGAGTCGAAATCCGCCCTCCTTATCTTTGGGTAAGGGCCATTTGTGTGCGTCTCTCTAGAAAGCATATAGTGAACAAAAAACGATCGCACGCCTCATGCCACGGCGGATCGTGCGTGTTAGGCATTTCATTTGTTGTCTCGCCGGAAGGAAGACAAGACCGGATTTTTGTGCCAAAGAAACACTTCCCACAATTTGTTGCCAAAAAAAAAACTTGAACTGCTGATGCTGCATCCTGGCCAAGATAGAAAGGCCTCCCGCCCTCACCTACCCCATACCGAGCACTCGCCGACGCAGGTAATAGCGCAGCAGTCAAGCCATAAACAGGACAACAAGAGCTGTGGCGCGCGTTACATCATGCCTTACGATACCGCTTTGGGAGACCCCCCTCGTGATCCAAGCCTGTTTCGCATGATTCCGCACCATTCCTTCCAACCGGGTTACAACACCGTTCATGCAACAGAGTAAGCCGCCGTGCGTGTTCCACCAAAAAAACGACGCATTGGACAGCACTCAGCACCGGCAAGACAACGGCGACTGTTCTACGCAGCGGCGGTATTGGCCGGCGGTGCCGATGCCGGCCTCGGCATCGACTTCTTCCTCTTCTTGTCCGGCTTCTTGTCCCTCCTGGTTTAGTGGTGGCGATGGTGGATTGATTGACAGGTGTCCGTGGCCGGGCATTTACCGCGCACCGCGCAATACAAACGGCGAAAACAAAAAGGGAAGGAAAACGGGATATGAAATTGTTGTCAAGGGGCCACGAGGGAGTATGGACGTACGGGGGCAGTAGGAAGCCGGGGCTGGACGCAAAGGACGGGGGGTAAAACAAGTGTGAAATCGAACCTCCGTCGCCTATCGACCAAAAAAAAACAAGTATGACCGAAATTTGGAAAGTTAATCTTGGCGAATTTGGTGAGGAATAACAAGAAACCCGACACTTCTGCACAGTTGGTTCGATGTCACACGTGAAAACAGCCTAGGCGGTGATTATGCCCTCTGTTGCGGCTACACTCCTAATCTTCCGTGTGCTGTCCAGTATCTACCAGTTTGTGCACGCGATATGCGTGGTAGAAAGAAAGGGATATCTTTTTGTTGCGATCGCGTAGTTGTACAGGGCAGAGCCCCTCCCGTCCGAACGTCAACACTGCTGTCTATCGTAAATACCGCGCGCAAACACGAGGGGATACAGACGATACGCATGCTTTCGCCAAGCAAAACAAACAAGTCGGGCGCCACCCACCCAGACGGAAACATCTACAAAACTAAGAAAGAAAACAAGCGCGACACCTGGGCATACAGCAGGCATAACACAACACAATCCTGAAGCTCAATGGCCAAGCAAAAGACAAACACACGAGCACGGACCACCGGAATGGCGTCGGAGTCAAGCGGCAACCGTTTCGCGGTCGGAACCCACCTCTTGCTGAAGTTGTTCCACCCGTCCGGGCTCTTCCCCGCGTTTCTGGTCCCCTTGTGCTTTCGCAGCCCCCCTCCCAGCGCTTCCGTGGCGTCGTCGTCGGGCACCGCCGCTTGCAGGACCAGACCGCCATTAGCTGTTTCGTTTCCGTTTTATGATACAAAAAACATAATGAGTCAAAAACCAAACTAAACAGAATATGAGTGAACATGTGTTGGACATGATCGAAAAATACCACGGCAAGATATCATACGACATGAAACTGGAGAAGGGAAAAAATAGATCAAAAAGACTGACGACGACGGAAAAAAAAAAAAAACATTGAGAACCGCGCCTCACAGGAACAGGATTGGATAGCTGGAAAACATGGATGGGTTGAGTAACAACAGTTGGAAACGAACTTAACGCCGTGGAAGAGCGAAAATATGGCACCGGGGACGCGAGACTGCGAGGACGGAGGCGGGTTTGGGGCGAAACAAGACATCGTGTCGGGCGAATACACGAGAGCACACGCATCACCAAGGAGTGCATGCACATGCCGTGTGCCCGGGGTATGGCACCCCCGGAACTGACAACAACGACACCAGGGTTCAACAGCACATCGCAAGCCAAACAGCCACAAACAAAAAAACAGCGACATCGTCGGGGCCTATGTCGTCCAGCGACGAACATCTCGAGGCTGGGCCTGCCGAAGTCACCCCGGGAGCCTAATTCATACTTCTAGTATCAAGACCGATGCCCTCTTTCTTTGTGGGAACTCCAGACCTTTAAGAACAGCAGTCGTAGTAACAACAGTGGTCGGTCGGTAGCAGAACACACACACACACTCACACACAATAGGAGCCTTCTACCAAGCCAACACAAGAAGCAGCACGCACGTTGTTCTCTCGCCCGGGCGTTGATGCTCATGCACTTCTCCCTAGCGCTGCCGGTCTTCGCCGGCACCGGACCCTCTCCCACGCCATCTCGAAGGCTGAACGCCTGCAGGCAACTGCTGTGCCAACGACAGGGTGACAAGAGAGCAAATAACAAGTGAGTTGGTTGTGTGTGAGGGCCTCTCAAAAGCTTCGACCGGGTGGTGGTGACCAATCAGAAACACCGCAGGTCCTATGCAGGTAACAGAACAAGAAAAGAAAAAAAGCGTTGCAGTTGGTGGGGCCCGTGTGTTGGTTTGGGTCTTGCATTGTTTCACCCTTGGGAAAAAAAAAAAAGATGTCCCATTTCATCGTAGTCTCCCGTTGTGTTCTTGGGAAAATAAAGAGCCGATTCTTTTTACGATCGGCGACAAAAAAATAATTCGCAAAGGATTCACGAGCGGAGTACATACACTCTTCGTGTGGGTACTAGGACGAAGGAATCACGTGCTCCGGTTTACGACAGCCATCCTCCGTGCTCTGACGGAGTGCGCTTTTCGCGCGGTTGGACACCATTGAACCTCCTGTTGTTCAGTTCGACGAACGGTTGGTCTGACGAGCGTATGAAGGCGACAGGGACGAACAGACAAAATATACTCACACTCCACATGCCTCTCTCCTAAGCGTTCGCCACCCCGCCTTCCCAAAATAAAAATAAATAAAGGGACACAAAAGAAAACAAGCACGACAACAGATGGAAACAAAAAGACACGCGACGCCGACACTTACTCGGCCGAAGACGCCGAGGGTAAGGCCACGATAAGGTCTCCATCGAGGAAGCCTGCCTGGATGGGCACCGACGGCAGCTGCAAGCGAGCCCGCGGGGTAAGGGAGAAAGAAGCCCCCGCCCCCGCCCCCCCCTCTGCCCCTTCTCTGCCGCCTCCTCCACGCGAAAGATTCAGCAGCAGTAAGCCCTCCAGCCTTTGTATGTAGTTTAGTTTGGGTGCGGCACGTGGTACGGAGGAAATAATGGCGTGGCTGTCGAAGCATATCTACACATGACGTGCAAAAGACAAAGCGGTATGAAAGATTCATGTGTGTCTCCGGTGGTTAACGTGCTGAGCGGGAGGGTTTTCGTGTATCGCGGCGGACACGGTGCTAGAACAGCGACTGGGGCAGTATGTCAGGCTCGTCGATCGAAGAAAGGTCGTGGTGCCAGGCCGAAATTGTCCTCATCCGTGATGTTGGCAGCACAAAGGCCAAACAACCCAAAAGCTGCACCTACGTCGGCCAATCGCCAAAGCCTTCTGGCTGTCTTGTTGGTTAATACTAAAGGCAGGCATGACGAGCGGCACACCACCACCACCGGCGCCCTCCACCGATGCTCTGTCGAGAAGAACAAGCGATGAACAAACGCGATCGTGGAACACAAAAGTGAGGGGCCTTGCACCACGTGGACGGCCCAGCCGCTGCCCCCAAAGCGACGGCAGAAGCGGCCCCAGGTGTGAGTGAGGTCGAACACTTTCGTGCAGTCAACTTAGACTGAATCGATACGTTACGGAGGGCAGCGAAACAAGAAACACTTTTAAACTCAAGCTGTCTGTTGGAGAGGATGCGGGGATAACAGAGAGACGGGTTGGGGAGATGGGGGGAACCAGACCGGGAGTGGTGCCGACTACAGCAGACCGTCGTAGGTTAGAAAAACGCCGTCATATTCAACACTCCATGCCATCGTCTTGTTGCGTCGATCTGCCTCAAACCAACTTCAGCTGGCTCTCTCATATATATGTACTCTCCGTTGCGTGTGGCTGTGTATCTCTCTCAACATCATCATCTCACCCGCTGACAACGACGGCCACGGTTCTTCCATCCTCGCTGCAAGACACGCTTAGGGGCACGCCCCCCCCCCCACCCCCACCGCCGCTCCCCTTTGGAGTCTCGCTCGTGTCACCCCCTCTTCCTGCTTCCCCCTCTCCCCTACTATCAGCAACACCGTTTTTGCTGCTGCTTGCGTCCCCGCTCCCCCCCCCCCCNCCCCCCCCACCAGAAGCGGCGGCGGCGGTCTCTTTCGAGCCCTCTTCCTCCTCGAGGTCCATCGTTGCAACTCCCTCGGAGGCGTCATCGCCGTCCGCCAGGTCTTGGCAGGCCTGGCGCACCGAAATCATTGCTAGCCTGTGTGCGTCGGCGTGCATGCGGGACGTACGGGCGACAGCACGAAGAAAACCGGCTCTGTTTGGCGTCGGGACAGATAAGTTTGAGCTGGGTTGGCATCAAGTGTTGCTTCGCCTTACAGCAACGGAAACAAAGCTCACTCGTCGAGAACCTCGCGACCGAATGATTGAACTGAACTGACAGTGTAAAGGTAGGAAACTGGGAGAGGACGGGGGGGTGTAGAGACGAGTCGGCCTTGCCTCCGTGTGTGGATGTCCCGCGGGTTTGAGGGGTTTGTCCACGGTCTTCGACGAAAACCCAGCTGAACAATGACACCATCGTTACATTTTCGTGCGATTTGCATCGCTAGCTTCGTTTAGAGAGAAAGGTCGCCACGCGCATTCCAGCGTTGCATACCTTCCAGTACTGTCGCCCCTTGTCCCCGTGCTCGCAGGGGACCCCATTTGTAGACACAACAGTGCTAAACGTGTGGAAGACTGCATTGACTGGTACTTCAACCAATACGTGGCACGCACAGATATCTTGTGTGGCACACCCAAAACGAACAAAACACATGTCCATTCATCGAATTGCAACACGGATTCAGCGGCACACGTGGCTACAGCCACAGCGTGCTTGCTTCTATCTTTCACTTGGGCTTTGTGATGCTTCCACTGGGTCCCTCAGTTTATTTTCGTCTTTGTTGCTTCAGTTCTCGATATCTTCGTCGTCGTCATTGTTGTTGGTACTGTTGCTGGTAATGACATGTTGTTGGCGTGACACTAGAAAACCATCCCACCCAACGCCGATCACACTACAAGACAGGTTCCGTGTGGAACACACAGAGCAAACGACAGCAAGCATTCAAACAAAAACACGCTCCGTCTCACTCTCGACCAGCCTCCGCGTCCCAAAGGCCCACCCTGCCGTCCCCGCCTCCCGACAGCAGCATTGCGCCCCCCTCTCCGGGTACCGCCGCCAGCGCGGACACGAAGTCTTGGTGTCCGAGGAGATAGGTGTGCACGATCGTAGTGCGAGGAAACTGCTCGAGGTCACCAAAAAGGGCAGCAAACGTGGGTGGATCAACAGCAAGAGGGCAACGGCAGTGCAGGGGGGCGGGGTACCCTGATCTTTGCCGTCAGCTGCCTGACAAAAGCGGGGGTGCATGGAACTGCCAAAGGAGGGCATATCCCGACAAAAGTGGAACGACGGGGGGGGGGAGGGGTGCAAGGTACCGCCAAAGTAGCTGGGCATCGTTTTAGGAGCGATTGCTGCGGCTCGCATACCTGGGAGACCCTAACGTGCTCTGCCCGGTCGGCAGTGGCCAAGAGCTGCCCCCCCTTGAGGGTAACCATCGCTGTGATGGTCATGGCCGTGTGCCCGAGGAGGTGCTTGAGCGCCGAGGACGGGTCTGGCAAGGGAGCAGCGTAGGCGTCCCCGCATTTGTCGGAAACCACGACAACCTCTTGCGTCTTCTCCCTCGTGGCGGCGGCGCCATCGGCGCGAGGTACCACCACAGGCGCGAACAAAATGCTGGTCGGCTTCTTCGGGAGCTCCCGTCTTCCCAGCAGGTGTCCGGATTCTGCTGCTGCTGCCGCCTCCGCCGGCGCTTCAGCGGTCCCCGCCGTTGTGCCCGACTCTGCACCTGTTCGCCACACGCACACCTGTTTGTCTTCCGTGGCCAGGGCGACCATGGACGCGTCCGCGGAGTAGGCGATGTCTACGGCAGCACCCGACGATCCCGCCCCCTTAGTTGTTGCTGCTGCCGCTCGTGTCTCTTCCGGTTTTGCTGCTGCATCTCGCGGCGCTCGTGATGATACAATCTCATTCTTAGCGTCACCGGTGGCAGTGGTGGGGCTGGGCGTGCTGCTACTGCTGCTGCCGCTGCTGTTACTTCCATGCCGCAGGTGCGCGACTCTGTAAGTCTCGCCGCTGCTAAAATTGCAGGAGGTACGTTCAGAGTGTGCGTACGGCGCGGGGGGACAACGTCACGTTTGGGTGCTCGAGGGTTGTTGTGCTGCGGCCCACCTGTTTCGCCAATCCTAACCGTAACAGCGTGGCCGATCGGCAGATGTTGCTGTGCCTTGAAACGAGCTAGGTTTGCCTGCGTTCGAACAGCACACCATCACCAACGGCTGGATCCTGGATCTAGAAGGCAGTGATGGGGTCGCACTGACGGGGATGGGATCTATGGGCATACGGTGACGAGCCCACACTTCAACATGAGCCTGCCCCATCATAGTTGTGTACTACTCTATCGGTTTGCCCATGTGCAATGTTTCACGTGTGTCAAACGGCACATCGACGAGGGACCACCGCTGGCATGAGGTGGGGGGAATGGCGGGAGCGGGAGAGTTGGCGAGCGGAAGGTGAAAGTACACCACCACCCTTCTCCACCTTGACAAACCGTTGAGCTGAAATCAGTACACGAGTGACCACGCACGAACGTCAACATGAGTCTGGCTAGATGTGCGACACACACACAGATCGTGTTTAGACGGATAGTTGCAACGAACACATGGAGGCCGCCACAAATCATGCGCCGCCTCACAGAGAGCGGAGACGATTAGACCGCGATTTTTTAGCACCTGCTTTCGCCCACTTCCAGCACGTGACCGCCTTCGAACGCCACGGCCAGCCTTCCATGCCCGACGGAAAAAACAGAGCGAAGCATCGCTCGCGACGAGACTAGCTCGTTGCTCGTGGAGAGTAGAGCGTGATCGATTGGTTAGGGAGTTGTGGTCGTCGAACCATGTCACAGCTGCACGGGGGGCGTTTGTATTGTGTCGGGCGGTTTGGTCTTGGTTCCACGCGGTACATATTGTGCCGGTTCGCATGCTCCGCCGCGACCTCTGCACCTTTCGTTGTGCAGATTCCCATCATCCCGATGAGCCACCCCCGTGCACAGCAGTGCGCACTCACACACGAGGTTTCGTCTCGTCAAAGCGTTAATGTTCGCCTGTACTGGCTGATGAGGTAGGTGGCCGAAAATAGAAATATAAACCCCACGAGATGACGGAATTGTTGGTCGACAAGGATGGCGAAGGCGACGAAGAGGAGCAAGAGCTGCAAGTCATGCGAGACGAGGAAGATGACGAAGGAGGCTTCGGTTCCAACCATACCCTCAAGTTATCCCCGATTACAGTCACCATTCAGTCGGAGATATTTTGCCTCGCCTTCTCCGCTGATGGGAGGTAGGTCAAGCTTTTGGAGGGGAACCACAGCAGTAGTCTGCATTGGCTTGCTTTTACCCACGACGAACTGATTTCTCGAGTGGAGTACACATACTTTCGGGTACTGCTGTAGTTACGTACTCTGTGACCACGGGAGGCACCCGCGTCAGGTGCACCAGTACGGACATTGGAAGGTGCTGAGCGGAGAAGGGAACGGCCTTTGAGTGTGAAGACATCAACAACACAGCAAGTAGGAAACACAACGGCAACTTAAGTAGCAGGATGACCAGCAATGGCAACTGCAGCAGCAACAAAAAGCAGGGTCGATCTCGGACACGTACTCCCAGCTGCCTCCACACATATGTTGCGATGAATCGCTTGGTAGCACGTGCTTTGATTTGTTCTGTACGGTACATAGGAGTAGTCTATGTGTTGTACTGCTGAAGGCTCCCGTTGTGTCGACCTCAAGCAGTTGTTTTACAGAACGACTTGCAACGCGGGACTATCATGAGTTGGGGTATGCCACCAACCTTGCTGCCGAAGACGGTCGCTCTGTCTTCTTGAAACATTACTTTCCCTTGGGGCATACACGTAAGGTTTCTTCTTGCGTGCTGCGGAGACGGCATAGTGCGAGTGTTAAACCCACACAACGGGGTTGTCATTTCGGTGCTGGTTTCGAAGCGAGAGAGGAGCAGAACAGGCTACGGCAAGGTTGAAAGGGGCAGCAGCGGCGCCTTGGGCTTGCAAAAGAAACGCTCGTCGTCTATCTTCGACAGCGTAACGCTTCCTTGCACCTGTGCCGCATTTCGACCATACAACAAGGTCAGTGGCATTTTGTCGATGCAGTGACTCTAGACCCTTGGTTCACATGTATAATGTGTATGAACCTCTGCAATTCTGAGTTGCTGCTACATTGGTGAAGCATCGCCCTTTCCCCACCTGTTCTCCTTAGACAACCCAGCTTGCCCGCGCACCCTGTATCCGCTATCTTGAAGGGCGAAAAGACGAACGGAGTGGCCCTCATCGGATACTCCCACGGTGAAATCCAGCTCTGGCACGTGCCGTCAGCCAAGGTACGGACGCGCGACGAAGGACAACAGACATGTATATGACTACAGCAGGTGACGTGTAATGTGGAAGAAACAACCTCGCTCATCACGGCCGTCAGTGATACTAGCGGCGTCGAAAACATAACGCCGTTTTCGATGATCGACTGAGAAATGAAACAGCAACGACCACCTCGATTTCTCCTCACCAGCGTCCTCCTCTTCCACCTGCACGGGTGCACTCATCGTGTATGCACTGCGCAGGTATTGCACCAACAGGCTGTTCCACCGGAAGACTCAAATTCGCGGGAAGGGACGGGCGACGGGGATGAAGCAGAAGAAAAAGGCGAAGCTAGCAAACGAGATGACGATATCGAGATATCCATCGGGGTGGAGGTGCTGTGCTGTGCCTTCTCCGGCGACGGCGAATCCTTTGCGGTGGGAGCAAGCGACGGGGTCGTGAGGGTCTACAGCGACACCACGAGGGTGCGTCACCGTCTAGCTGGCAACCCGATAAATCCGGTGGAGGGTTCGAAATCTGGATGAGCTGCCGTGGTTCAACAGAACAACCAACCTGTAATATGACTGTTTCTGTAGGGTATGGGTACGCCACGGACGGGTCGCGGGCACGGTTGCGAGGGCAACAGTGTTGGGGTACGGCGTCCGAAGCCACGCCGAGCGCACAGAAGGGCCAGGCACGACTGGTACCCGGACGAATATCGCTGACTTTGTATTTTTGGGAACACCCCACACACGACCTAGGAAAACGTAGCTCCTGCATTGCCGATTCTAGGGCTTGCTGGTTCTGATGTCCACTACGTTTTCGAAGACACCGCGCGTGTTCTATTCTAGATATATACATCTACCAACGTTATGCAGAAGTTTTCACCTAACCGCTCTACTAATCTCGGGGCGACAGAGCTCGCTCACGTGAAACATGCTGCTGCGGCCGTGTTTGTGGTACTTGGATATGAGTCCGATCTGTGCATCCTCTGTGGGGGATACGCGTATGGGAACTATGGGTGTGATGGTTGTGTATGCGGTCGAGGTCCAAGTGCGGGGCCTCCGGGTGAGCACACGGCGGTGTGCTCCCGGCACTTGCCTGAGGGGCTTGCGTGTTGGTGACCAGCTTGCCTGAGGGGCTTGCGTGACGGATATATGTAATACATGGTCCTTTTTCATCTGCTGTTCCTGGGATGACATAGCACCCAGTCTCAACGCCACAGACCGCTGAGGGCGGCAGTGCACACTAACACGATATATCGAGTGGAGCCTAGCTAGGCCAGGTGTTGGTTCGGCGATGACGCGGGTATGAGAGCATTTTATGGAGCTGAAGGCTCGGAGCGTTTTTATGTGGATGGCGGCAGGCGGTCCCAAACAAGAGTGATTTTACGAGGGATTGAGGAACGCAGAGCATCGGCGGCAACGGCGAGCGCGCCGATGAGTTGCGGCAGCGGGGCCGATGCAACAGCAGCAGCAGCAAGGTATGGGTTGCACTCGCGATTGGAGGAACGTCAATGCGGCTGGTGGGTTTTATGTCGGCAGTGAGCCAAGGAGATTTCACTGGCCTCCTCATTGCGATCGGTGCGGGCGTTCTGGACACATAAGCACCAAGTGCCTGGCACCAAACCACGTGATCTACTGGAAGTACACCGATTTCACGGGCCTCCTCAGTGCGATCGGCGCGGGCGTTCTGGACACGTAAGCATCAAATGCCTGGCACCGAACCACGAAACGACCTACTGGAAGTATCACCGACCTGGTACGTTTCAGCAGCAGCGGGGGAACGGCGAGTTTAGCGGCGAGTCTGTGTGTTGGCAGCAGCAGCAGCAGCAGTAGCAGCAGCAGCAGCCAGGCGTGGTGTATGGCGGAGAGTCTCAGCAACAGCCGCGGCAACAACAGCTAGCGGCCGGCTTCACCGGGGGTGAAGGTGGACAGGTGCGTGGTGGGGTGTTCGTTGGTGAGAAGTGGGGGGGGGCTGCTGCCGGTACGTCCGCGGGGTATTTGCCGGTAAAAGACCCCGCCAACGTAGCTTATCTCAACGTAAACACACACTCCGCCACTCGCATTCCCCAGCGGCCTGCGACATCACGTGTAGCACCTGCAGTAGTGCGGCAACGCGATGAGCTGAATCTCATGGAGGGAGGATACAGCAGAACACGTGTAGCGGAGGAACACATGCTTGGATCGTATCACGTTGTTGGACTTCGCTGTCCGCGGAATCACAACAACCCAAGCATTCGTCAGAAGCTGCATCAGCAGCAGCGTCGTCCCCGGTCGCCGCGTTGGCGCCGGGTACTCAGACGGACGCAGCGGCGATGGCGGCGGCGTCGGCGACGGGAGGAACGGCAGCGGCAGCAGCAGCGGCGGCGTCCCCGGTCGCCGCGTTGGCGTTGGGTATCCAGACGGCCGCAGCGGCGGCGGTAGCGACATCGGTGACGGGGGGAACGGCAGCGGCGACAGCAGCAGCGACGTCCCCGGTCGCCGCGATGGCGTCGGGTGTTCAGACGGCCGCAGGGGCGGCGGCGGCGGCACCGGTGACGGAGGTATATGACGAAGTGTTGGAGGAAGCGGTTGGTGCGACAACCACGCCGTTGCCAGTCCTGGAGGAGCTTGACAGCCAATGTACTGGGGGGGACGTGAGCAACAGCAGCAGCAGTAGCAGCAGCAGCGAGGACAGCGGCGGCGATGCGGGCGGGAACGAGGGGTTGGAAGAAATCTGGAGTGGAGCCCAGACGCACCCTTTCGACCCCGGGAAGACTGAGGGGGACGTGAGCAGCAGCAGCAGCAGCAGCAGCTGTAGCAGCAGCGGCGAGGACAGCGGCGGCGAGGACAGCGGCGGCGATGGGAGCGGGGACGAGGGGTTGGATGAAATCTGGAGTGGAGCCCCGGCGCACCCTTTCGACCCCGGGAATATCGAGGAAGAAGTGAGCAGCAGCAGCAGCAGCAGCAGCAGCAGCAGCGAGGAAAGCGGTGGTGATGGGAGCGGGGACGAGGGTTTGGATGAAACCTGGAGGGGAACCCCGACGCACCCCTTCAACCCCGGTACGACATCTTCGCGTGGCGCGAGGAGACGGGGGGCGGTACCAGGGGTGGCGTATCCCTTCGATAGGGGCAGGAACGGGAGTGGCAGCTGCGGCGGCGGCAACAGCGGCAGCCGCAGCAGCGACGGTAGTGGCGGCTTCGGCCAGAGCTCCGGCGGCGACACCGGCGGCAGCAGGAGCAGCGACGGGAGTGGTGGCTTCGGCCAGAACTCCGACGGTAGCAGAAGACGGCAGGGGTGGCTTTGGCCAGAGCCCCGTCGGCGGCAGCGGCGACAACGGCGGCCGTGGTAGAGGCTGCAGCAGCGACGTCACCGGCAGCCGTGTTGGCGCTGGAACTCATGACGGTCGTGGCGGCCGGGGAACGGCAACGGCGGCGATGGCAGTGGCGGCAGCAGCGGCGGCGCCCTCGAGTCGACCGGGAACGGGGAGGACACGGTGACAGCGACGACCTCAACTTGTTACAGCCAAGTGGGAGAACATGTGAAACGTTTACGACTTTGTTCGGTTTTGTGAGCAGGCATGGACGTTTTAGCTTCGCCATTTGGCTTCGCATATTTGTTACTTTGTTCTGTTTTTCCTTGCTAGCGCACCGTGCACTTTGATTCAGAAAACACGTGTATGCCACGGCGTGTGTGTAATTGTTTTTTGTAATTGGTTTCATGATATTAATAACGCTGCGACAAGATAAGCATTGCCACAACCTGTGGAACAGGAAGCTGCACTCTTTTTTTTTTTCCTTGGTTCTTGTTATTTTTTCAGTCGCGTTTTACCTTGCAGTTGAATGCGTCGTACTATTTACGTATTCTTTGGAGGGAGTACGTTCAGTCGCGTATTTTTTCTACAAACTGGACATTTGCACTTAGGATGCTTCGATACGTTGGTTTTTATGTTAGGTCCTGAGTTAAGTTGACGCTCTCTGCGGTGTGTTTCTGGCCGCGCGCACGAAAGGGGGATGATAGCGCGTTGTTTGACATGCATGAAGGCATACCGCTCAGGGAGCAGGGGCGCTTTTGGAGTTCCAGTTTAGGAGACAGTTTACATAAGGTACGAAATTTTTCTGGAGTTTGATACCTTGTGTGTTACGTGTTTTCATGTTTCTGGCTTGTATCGCATGTTTTTGCTGCTCTTGCATCGAAATCATGGGGGGGGATGTCATGTATGACCACGAGGGCATGAACAGCAATCGAATTGGTTCATTTTCTGGTCGCGCCTACTTGTGTGTTAGGTGAACGGCAAAGCAAGGGGGCTATTGTCATCGAGATATTAGCTCGGGGCGAATGCTGGGAGCTGACAGCAGGGGGGCTGTTTGCGTGGATGCTTTCTTACGTTTTTCTATCGTTTCTTGGACAGCAGCGACGGTACCGATCAGCGGGTGCGCTGTTTAGGATTGGTCCTTGGACACTGTATTGGAGGAAGGATTTGACATGTTTTGACGATTAATGGTTGGGGCCGTTGTGTTTTCCGAATTCTCGTTTTGATTGGTCAAGAAGTTGAGTTTTGTCTTGTTTGAGGATGGATTTGGTGCCAGCTCTTTTGAAGTGTATTATTCCAGAAATGTCCGTTTTCGTTCTGACGCTTTTCTGATGTAGCACAAAACATTTTGTTGGGTACTCTTCTGAAGATGATTCTTGTGTGTCAACGGTTTGAGATGATTTCCAGAGGCGAACGCGTGGGATTCGTGAATAAACTGATGGAGACGCTTTGTTTTGAATGCGTCGCCAGTTCTGTTGAATAAGTTTTCTCAAGAGGTGTTTTTCTGTGTTGGCTGACTACGCGTGAAGGGTTGCAAGATCGTTCATCGTATCAAGTAGGGGGGCTGTTTGTGGTACTTGGATATGAGTCCGATCTGTGCATCCTCTGTGGGGGATACGCGTATGGGAACTATGGGTGTGATGGTTATGTATGCGGTTGAGGTCCAAGTGCGGGGCCTCCGGGTGAGCACACGGCGGTGTGCTCCCGGCACTTGCCTGAGGGGCTTGCGTGTTGGTGACCAGCTTGCCTGAGGGGCTTGCGTGACGGATATATGTAATACATGGTCCTTTTTCATCTGCTGTTCCTGGGATGACATAGCACCCAGTCTCAACGCCACAGACCGCTGAGGGCGGCAGTGCACATTAACAGGCCGCAATGGCAGAATGCGCTCTACCTATGCACAACAACGAGAAAAGGTGCACACCAAAGCCTTTGCTAACCGCTTCAAGCTACAACACCTCGCACTGAACCGCAGGAAATGTTGGTTGAGCTCAAGCCTGGGATGGCGCGAGGCTCCGGGCACAGCAGCAGGGTGTTCAGTGTCAAGTTTCACCCAGACGACTCGAACACTCTCGTCAGCGGCGGTTGGGTGAGTGTCCGTGTGTCGAAGCCCACGAGAGTGATGTCTCTTCGCCCCCCGTCCCCCCCTTCTGTTGGATTAGTGGCTTCTCTCCTTACGGGCATTCCGAAGCGCGACATAAACTCAATGATTTTCTTACCCTTGCTTGGCTTTCGTAGAGCTGCCCACAGCTCAATTTCTGCCCGTCAGCATTCCGATGGTTTTCATGCGGTTTCGCACTGATTATCACGTTTCTTCGTGCCCGTTTTACCGCTCCAAACACACAACAACAAAGTTTGTTGTGGGAGACGGAATAAACTCTCTTTCTGTCCCTTTTTCACCCAGGACAACTGCGTACAAGTGTGGGACGTTGAAAAGGCCACCACTGTGACGACCGTCTTCGGCCCCCACATCTGCGGAGATGCTGTGGGAGTGTTCGGTCGGACCATTGTAACGGGCTCTTGGCGTGACGAGTCTCAGGTGTGCGTGCCCATTTGTGTGTGTGTTTCTTTTGACGTATCGACAGCGCTCACCTCCAGACGAATGAGAAGGTGTCAGTCCAAGTAACGAAATTGCGCGCCTGCATGTTGTAGAATTTGGTTGTAATTTTCAAATTCGCTGACCGTGTCTGACCAACAACAGACGCTAGCCATGCGAAATCTTGTCGCGCCCTGCTGTGACCCCCAACCTTGCCCGCCCTCTCTGCGGTCTGGTCCCTCTTGCCTGTCTATCCATCAATGCAACACATGTCAATATCATCGAAATCGGCACCACCGATCTTTTTTCAATCATACCCACTGCATGTGGGTGCTCAATAGCTGGAAGCTTGGGACATGGACTCTGGGAAGGCCAGCGGCCCCTCCTTCTGGAGCGGAAGCGGCAAGGGGGCGCTATTGCAGCAGGCCTTGGGTCGCAGGTAGAGTAGAAGTCAGACTTTATCATTGTTGTTGCCGTTGTCGTCTTCACGAGAAGGCGCGTTTGGCCCTCCCCACACTGCAGACATGCCATCTGGTGCTCGGTGCACCACCACATGATCCCTTTTGACCAGGCCGCGCGCGTGAGAGATGCGCTGGACGTTTTTCAGTGTCACAGCGACAAAATAGATGGAAGGGGCAGTTGAACGACCCGGGAGGCTAAAGACATCCATATTAACTCTCGTCCAGCTTGTTGTACACGCGAACAATCGGCGCAAAGGGGGGTTACTCGATCCACACGGCCCAACGGCGGATTCACCCACAAGCTATTTCGACGTTGTGCCGACACATGCAACAACCAAAACTCATGTTCACTCAAATCAGACATTCGTGAGGACACATTGCTCACGTCTGGTCCCGGTACAATACTACACATCGCTTTCTTGGGTCTTATCTGGCGCTTGTACAAAAAGGTGCCGGTTGTACGCGGCGGCTTTCGGCGGGCCTGAGGATGCGCGAGGAAAGTTCGTTGCGGCCGGCGGGGGCGAGGGGGCGAACGAAGTGAAGGCGAGAGCACGTAGACCAGCCTTGATTTGTGTTCAAGTTGATCTTGCAGCAAGTACCACACATCGAACACGGGTACTGCAGTGAAAGTGCGGGCAAATACACAGATGCAAGATAGATCTTAAAGATCGATTGCTTCACAACGAAAAAAATGGGGCGAAATCCGACCGACGCACGTGCGCGGAAAACCCTCTCTCGACGCCATCCTTCCAAAACCACCTTTTCGGCAACGACAGCCCCTTGGTTGTCGAGAAATCGAGCGCTGACCTTTGCTCGCACTTGTACGTCAACGACGTAAACAACGTCGAGCGTAGCACATATATACTTGCGTTTCCGTTCAACCTTTCAACCTTGGTCAGTCAACACGGCGTACGTTGGCTCCATGGAATCCGCCAGAGTCGAGCCACACTTGTAGGTGAAAGAGCGTTGCTACTCTCGTGCCGTTGCGAATCCAACGTGTCAGGGTGTTTTTCGGAAGCCAATATATTGTTCATTGTAAGCACTCATCGAGGGCAAAGCACTCCGAAGTCAAACGATTTCTGCATCGAAGCAGGCACGAGAAGTTTCTCACTTGCCTTCAACTCGAAACCAATCCGTGCAAGCAACTTGGGTAACCGGCCGCTTCTCTACTGCATGCGTACTCGACAAACTTCGTACGAAT